TAATAATAATTAGTAAGTACATATTGAAAATTTTGTGAAGAAGAATGCCTAATCATTTTACATGTTAGCAAAAAATATTTTGGCAATTTTCTTCAGCAATACATTAGAGACTCTGACCAACATGGCAGCCTCCTCAACTACCCCACATGTACTAGCTGAAGACAGGCTACCTATATAAGAGGTTTGCAATTTGTAGTAGTTTTTCAGTTTCTTTATGCGTTTGTTGGTGTTGATAGGTCTAAGAATCCTATTTTCCCCTATGAATTCTACATATCTTATTTGAGGGTCAAAGGTAGCAGTCTCTGCTTTTTAGCCAACTTGGTTTAGGTGACCAGGAATGGAATTCATGCCTAGTCATTAACAGCTCAGACGCATTTTTCTCTCTTACTTCAAAGACATAAGTGGACACCCCAGGGGAACATTCTGGGAAGGAACTTATTTCTCCTACATTCTGGCTTGGAAGGGAGCTTGTGAAGTTTTCGTAAGTCCCATCTTTCTAAATAGGCAACATGACCACTTCGACAGCCATGGGAGTAATTTGGCTGCACCTAAAAAAACCCTTAACTTACAAATTCCATTCGGGGTCCTATGTCTGCTACACTTAACCATCTCATGCATTCATTTCTCCTTTGATATACAGTACCTTCGCAGGAGGCCTAGAAAATGTCTGATCACTTCTTTTATAGTTCACTAGAAGAATGAGGAAGAAGTCCTTGCTCATATATATCATGGGTTATTCTGAATATATTGCTTGTAATATGATTTCATATCCATTCTTTGAAAACAAAAAAGAGGGTTTTCTTATTTTTTGCATCTTTTGTCATGACTCCCCTAAAGCAAAGAGCACAGAATGGTTTGAAAAAAACAATGGAGATATTTCTGGTTTAAAATTACTATATAGCGAAATAAACAAGGTATTATTTTTATCCCCATTCACCATAACTTTATCTGGGGTTTCCACAAAACAGTCAACATGAATCATGACACATATGTGGACTGGGCATACATATAAACCTTGCATAGACTGTGAAATAACAGTGACAATGATGATATTCCTGCTAATTGAGCATCTACTGGGTAAAGCTGACAGTGAAAGTTATGTTTTTATGTATATTATTATTCCATTTATTCTTCAATACACCCTATGAACACAGTAGGAAGACCATGTTCCAATGAACAAAAAAGGCTTCTTTTTTGGACAGGTTAAGTTTAAGTTTTCCATATGATATTATGAGTATCCATATGATATGTAGAGATAAAATTTGAAAGACAATTTTGACTGAGCCTTTGACTGAATTTCATAACTATAGACAGAGTTGTTAAAGTAGCAGCTGTGCCTAATATTATCTAAATAAAATAGTGATATTGATGTCACTCATTTAATGAGTTTTCAGAA